TTCTTTTTCAGTCCACAGTATCACGTGTGAACATTCTTATGCAAACCTTCATTGTGGTAAAGTTGTTTCTTTTCTATTCATCGTTTAAAACTGTGCTGATTTTATGCGATAAAAATAAAACAAGTGAAAAAGAACTGATATCAATAATAACAGGCTGATAGTTTAACAGTGTGAATTGTTCTTCAGATAAAGGGCACGTTATAGCCGTCCTGTCGGCCGAATACGGCCGCCGTGACTCGACCACGTGCTCTTACAAACGTCATCCGAATCAGCTCAAAAACACCCAGTGCTCAATTCCCACGGGCAAAGTAGCCGAGAGGTACAGACGCTGAGTGTCTTTACACTTTCTCTGATGACTCGTGTATGTAGAGCCTCTGCTCACTCTCTGATTTACATTCACAGCTGTAACGGCCGAAACAGCTGTTCCATCAAAGTAAGGAACTCTATATTTGGAGACCCGTGTCCTGGCACCTACAAGTACCTGGAGGTGGTCTACACCTGCGAGAGTAAGTGCCTCAAAGACCCTTTGAAAGACTCCTGAACAGCTCAAATCTCTGCAGACACCAGAAAACCTAAAATCATGTGTACTCACGCTTACAAAGCTACGCATCAAAGCTCGCCTATTTTTCAGTAGATGGGACTTTATGCGCTCAAATTGTGGACATAAATATTTTGTACTTGTAAATCAGGTTTTAGGTCCAATCAGAGGTTCTCTGATTGGATTGTTAAATTTGTGATTGACATGACATTGGCCAATCAGATGAAAGGAAGAAAAATAGGGTCAAGAGTTTCACACATATTTAAGTCCACACGCAAATCTTTTTTTTTTTAAGCACATACAAAACTGATTTACAAGTACAAAATATTTATGACGACAATTTGAGCCGATAGGACTTGATATGAAACTCTTTGTGAAAATAATTTGTTTTCTTTGCAGATCTGGTTGAAGAAGAAAATCCATGAAAACAATAAAACACCATGTTTGTGCTTCAAATGGAATGATTATCCAATCAGTAGTCAATAGGTAGACAAATGCAACACGTGGCCTACAGGACAGTCAGGCTGTCGACACATGATTGAACGTCAAACTGATTTAACGTCTCATAATTTTTCCTTCTTATTACAAAATAAAATTAATCAACCAGCCCTGCCTCAGCGTTGTGTTTAACATTAAAGGTGTCCATCCCATAATTCACGGACAGGATGCTGTGTGCTGAACATGTGAAAGCAGTCAGACAAACACGACTCCAGCAGCTGATTTCAGCCCAAACTAATAAAGACCCCGCCCCAAAGTTAACGTGTTACCATGGTGATCTGGTTAGAAAAGAACAAAACTGTAACTTTAAGCTCAACATGCTGAGTAAACTCCTTCATGTCAGTCACTGCGTGTTGTGTCACGATGTCCTCAGTAACGTGACCTGTAAATGTGCCACTCTGAACATTTATATACAAAATAAAACAAAAGCATTTTAACATTCTGAACACTGTGACAGCATAGCTACACTTTGAATTTAGATTACGCCGCAGCCTTGTGAACGTTTGTTTTATACGCTTAGTTTTTATTTAGTTGTGTGAAGGGAACTCGCAAAGTAAGACTTTCTTTGCTCAGCTATTTGTGTTTTGCAGTCTTCTTCTGATCTGCACTA